GTGGAGAGGGTTAAGGCGTACCTGTTATGCCAGTTGCTGGAAGGCTTCTGTGCTGGCTAGGGTTCGAGTCTCCTGGTGGGAAAGTGTTCTAAAGTTGTATACTTCACTCTCGTGTTTAGGGGAGTTGTGCCTTAAATATATATATATATATATATATATATATATATATATATATATATATATATATATATATATATATATATATATATATATATATATATAGTATATATATATATATATATATATATATATATATATATATATATATATATATATATATATATATATATATATATATAAATATATATATATATATATATATATATATATATATATATATATAATTATATACAACCTTAGAACACTTTCCCACCAGGAGATTCGAACCCTAGCCAGCACAGAAGCCTTACAGCAACTGGCATAACTGGTACGCCTTTAACCCACTGCACCACAGCTCAGACCCCTAAAAGAGATGGTAATTTCAGAGTATTTCACCTCCAAAGATCACCACCTCCCAAGGGCAACTAGAGCATAGTGAAGGGCTACTCACGTTCTTTCATCAAATTCCTGTTAATATGGGAGAACTCTGTGTCTATGCTTAATGCACAACTTGCCTAAACACGCAAGAGAGATTATACAATCTTAGAACACTTTCCCACCAGGAGATTCGAACCCTAGCCAGCACAGAAGCCTTACAGCAACTGGCATAATTGGTACGCCTTTAACCCACTGCACCACAGCTCAGACCCCTAAAAGAGATGGTAATTTCGGAGTATTTCCAAAACCCAAAGACCCAGGAAATCCAAGACCCAGGAAGTCCAACACCCAGGAAATCCAAGACCCAGGAAGTCCAACACCCAGGAAATCCAAGACCCAGGAAGTCTAACACCCAGGAAATCCAAGACCCAGGAAGTCCAACACCCAGGAAATCCAAGACCCTGGAAGTCTAACACCCAGGAAATCCAAGACCCAGGAAGTCCAATACCCAGGAAATCCAAGACCCAGGAAGTCCAAGACCCAGGAAATCCAAGACCCAGGAAATCTAAGACCCAGGAAATCCAAGACCCAGGAAATCCAAGACCCAGGAAATCCAAGACCCAGGAAATCCAAGACCCAGGAAATCCAAGACCCATTTCGTTAACAAGCTGTCTGGCCAAAACTGCGAAAAAAATGGCTCTTAATCGAACTGACTGGAAAACCAATCCACTGCACCAAAATACGTTTGCTTACAGAAAAGATGTTTGAACCACAGTATGCCTTACCTCCCTCCCTCCCTCCTAGATCTTGAGGTTATCTTAAGATGATTTCAGTTCTTTAGTGTCCCCACGGCCCGGTCCTCGACCAGGCCTCCACCACCAGGAAGCAGCCCGTGACAGCTGACTAACACCCAGGTACCTATTTTACTGCTAGGTAACATGGGCATAGGGTGAAAGAAACTCTGCCCATTGTTTCTCGCCGGCTACCGGAATCGATCCCGAGATCACAGGATCACAGTCCAGGGTGCTGTCCGCTCGGCCGACCGGCTCCCCATCAAATCAAATTAATGACAAACCAGGAATCCTTATTTTTCTAGACCTAGTAAAACCCTTCGAGCTAGACAATGCTCCAGCAATATTGTGTTGCCTGGTAGATAAGAAAATCAAAGGACACGCTCTTGCCTTTGCCAAAGGAAGCCTGCTTAACCGAGACGCTAAAGAAATTCCAAGGAAAAACATCCTTCTCAAAGAGGCTGGTAAACGGGACTATGCAGGGAGGAATACTAAGCCCCTTCCTCTTCAACTGTTTCATGGAACAATTCACGAAGCTCAAGTTACCAAAAGCTAAACTGCTTAACTATGCAGACAACTTTGTGGCCATCATCAATGGCAAAGGCGCCAGGGACTATTCACAAAAACGCCTAGATATTATCAGCAGGGAAGCGGAACGCATAGCAGTGAAAATAAACAGCAATAAAACCAAAGCAATGGCCGTTAAAATGATAACTCAAGAAATCAGACTCGCAATGCAAGGACACGAAATTGAGTGGGTTACCTCTTTTCAGTACCATGGAGTCATAATAGACAACCAGTTGAAATTCACTCAAGAAATTGAATATCTTCGACAACGTTGTAAAGCCAGAAACTCAGCTGTGTGCTCCCTGACAAATCTTAGAGATGGTGCATCTCTACCAGTACTCAAAATGTACTACGTTCAAGCAGTTAGGTCACTCATTGACTATGCTGCTCCTGCTCTTACATCCCTCAGTGATAACCAATGGGAGAAACTGGAAGCGTCTGAAAACGATTCCCACAGAACAATGCTGGGAGAACCTATACGGACGCGTCGAGAGAATCTAAAAATGGAGACCCTTAGAAAACAGGATCAAACAAAGAATAGCCACCATAACAGTAAAACCTGTTGGAACCACCGCCGGACTTTCAATCAAAGATAGCATACACAGATCGCTTCACAGAAACCTTCAACATAGAACATGTTGAACATGCATGGATGGATAATCTGGCCAAGATTTTAGAGAAAGTGGACTTGAAATGGACTATTACAAACAAAGGAGAAAGATAGACCATATCAACACTTTCGGCAGCCTCCTCCAGGGGAAGAATCGTGTCAGGATAATCACTGAAGGATTACCAGTTAAAAAATCAGCATGTGACTAGCAGAGGAGCAAAGCAGTCGTAGAACAACAAATGGAAACCATCTCAAGACCAACAACGACTCATATCTCCACAGACGGATCAGTTGAACAAAAAAGAGGTTCTGCTGGGGCAGCAGTTTACACTAACAACCATGAAGCTTATTGGAGCATGAATAGTGGGTGCTCAACATTGATAACAGAATTATATGCTATGAAGAAGGCCATAAATCATACAATTAAAAAATAATGCATACGATGTCATCATTGATACTGACTCTAAATCTTTGCTCCAGGCATTGTTATCCAGCCAGCACAGAGAAAATATGCAACTCACCACAGAATTCTTACATATAGGAAAAGAAGTACACAATTTAAGGCTGTCAATCACCCTAAATTGAATACCATCTCACATTGGCATAGATGGCAATGAAAAGGCAGATTCACTAGCCAAAACTGTCACTGCTCTACCTGTTGTACAGGTTAAAATATCCTTATCCTTATCAGCTCACCCCACAAAACATCAAAATTCTCCAAAACAACGGAACACCAGAGCAAACTAACTAAATAATTAAATAATTAACTAAATAATTAAGCTTCCATCACCCTCTCCCTATCTTCACTTGATCACTAACAACAACCCCTCACATCCAACATACTATGATCCGAAAAACTGACAGAAATCGAATCCCAAGATCGAACTCTACTAAATGACTTGTGCAAATAAACTATTAATGTAGGAAACATAATTCTGACAAAAGAAAAGGCCGGGACATCCCCTGCAATATAACACGTCCCACAGATGTGTGTTCAGCAACATCTTAAGCTGGAGAGACAGCTGGTGACTGATTGCTGGATTGACAGACTGCCGGTGAGTGAGTGCTACAATCCCTCACCAGCGTAACACAATTAAAGTCGCCACCAAAAATCCTTATCCTAGTGTCATACCTCATAATATGGCAGACCATCCGATAACAGCTAACCCCCTCTCCTGCCACCTATGTGTCCCTGAGGGTACATAACATTCAGCAAGGGAAACAGAGCCCATATAAGACAAATGCCCCAATATTATATTCCCAAAATCATTCAATTCAGAGCCGATTACCTCCACATTCGCCTACTTCACCAACAAAGTCTTCGTACCGCCCCTGGACACCACCAGAGGGCTCAGTAACACCACAAAATTTTCTAACCTCCCCATAAGTGGACTATGCACCTAACATTGAGTTCGTGAATAAATAGGATATCTAGCCGATGAAAGTGGACCAAAGACAAAAGATGATGCTGCTTAAGATGGCAGTTGAGTCCATTGATGTTTTATATCGGAAAATTCAGCCATGCATTCACTACAAATTTGAAAAAAGCTTGGAAGACTGCATATAATACAGTGTGACCACTCCACACAGGGGTAACATCTATTCCATCAGAAGACAACACCTCTACGACCAGGACAACTCCCGAGGATTAGACCACACTGTCCACTCCTGCCACATATCTCTTCCGAAGCTTGACCTTCAATGTGTTCCCGGCTGACTGCTTCTGCTCCTTGTCCACAACACTCCACCAAACCTCACCTTGTGAACCACAAGGCGGCACTCCACTACCGACAGGTACAGTGCCACTGCCGCCCACTACAGGCCTCCCCTCTGAACTAGGCTGAACACCATTAACTGATGTAACTGTATACTCACACTGATCTCTCTCCACCGAGGAAGGATCCTCCTCGATTCTCTGATGCATACTAGGCTCTGCATGAGAGAACTACTGAACTTCCAACGTTTCTGGTCATGTGGCCCACCGCCGACACCCATTATGCCAACAGCCTCTCTTCATCTAGAACCTTGACCGGGAAACAGTACATCCACCTTATGCATTTCTACCACTCGTGCGAGCAGCATAGTAAACCTCGTCAACTCCAGCGCTCGCAACCCTGGGGGTTCTCGCGCCACCCATCCGCCTCAACACTGGGATACGGCACATCCGAGGGAACACTCGCAACTGCACCCACCACTCCACTCGCTACACCAACCACATCATTTCAAATCTCAATTGAACAACCGCCAAATTTGGCCACATCAAATAAAGCCAGAAATTAGCTTTATTTGCTCATTTATTTATAAGCTTTATTCCCCGGCAGTCTTATCAGCACGAGTGATGCCTGGGTCAGTTGGAGCCACTGGGGATGAAACACTCATAGAACGCAGATAGTCGTCATCCAATACTGCTGCATTCTACCTCTACAATGGGGGAAATCACCTTGTCGGAAAACGTTCGGTCGGTTAGTCACAGCAATCGTAAAAGCAGCTGCCAGATTTACAGTATTCCCACACATAAAAAAGCAGGTCCAAATTTGCGCATGGTAGAAGCTGACCATATAGCCAGCAATCGAAAGAGAAGCGATGATGATCCATAGGAAAGTGACGGTTTCCTATGGATCATCATCTTTGCCATTCTGAAGCCATTTAACTGCTTCTTAGCCCCCACTGAAGATGTAATTATATATGCAGACATATTCCACTTTGCCATATCTGTCACATTCCTAACAAAGAATGTCCTCCGACATCACGAAGGCACATTCTTAACAGTCACTTACGAGTTCGCAACACTCAAATTCTTCAGTCACAGCGCTTCTGTCAATGCTAGATCACACATCCCAATACTCACACCGGACCACAATACTGGAACGCAGCACCCGTGGAGTACTTTACCACCACTCATTCAACGTATACAAAACCTAAAGACCAACAAACTCATCCGACTTCACCAATACTGTTACGAACCCGGATCCAGCGTCCGAGCACGGAGCAGTGACGACCGCGCCATCTGTGGGTCAGCTCCCGAAACCCCCACCAAATGGACGACGACACCTGGTGAGGACAAGGTGTACCAGCCACAAGGGCCAGTTTCCAGTCCTGTTCAGCACACAACACCGCCGCTGCTGACCTCTGGTGAGGTGGTGCTCAGACGACAGCGCCATCTATGGAGTGGATAGGTGGGCGTTTGTGTCTGAGCCTGTAAGTGAGGTGCTTTAGTGTGTTATTATTGATGACGTGTCTGCTTACAGAGTCGACCTGGGACTGCTGTGATGGAAGTTGAGTCAGTCTACCCAAGGCAGCCGTCCCCATACCTTGGGCTTTGCTGCAGCAGCTGTGAAGTCGCCTCCCGGAAGAACACTGTGGTGTTACCCTGCCAGTGGAGTGGCAGTAGAAGGATTGTCTTACCCGGGACCGACTGCTGGAGACGATTATCCACTGGGGTATTGAGGACAGGAGAGTGATTTGTGGCATCACACGAGGCTCCTGACTAGGGCGCTACCCTAGTATCGCTCGTGGAGTGGCCTGACCAGCGTTGCTGATCCGGAACCTGCCAGCAGACCTGCTGGACTTGTGGTTGACGGCCTCCACGGCGGTGCCCCCAGTGGAACTGTGTTTTGGCTGGCCTGTGTTTGGGGTAGACTCAGCTTGGTCGAAGGATTCGTCAAGAGACCACGAAAGCACCGAGGACTCAGCACCGAGAGTTTGGATCCAGAGTCTTCAGGAGAAGACGATTGTGTATTTCCCCTGTACAGTGTTAATACCCCTCCCCCTGTGCACTCTTTTATATATTATTTATTTGGTGATGGTAATAATTATAGTCTTAAGTTCTTAACTTTCTTTCCCTTCCCCCTTTAAGTTTCTTGCATCACGGATCTCATTCCTTGAAAGCCACTACTGGCTTGGAGCCGGATTCAACTTCCTCTAACGACATCAGAGTACGAACCCCGTTGCGACCCGAGAGGGCCGTAACATAATTGGCATCCCCAGCGGGATCCGTCCCCTTGTTAAGTATGTTTGACAGGGGTGGTGAAGTGGCGTAATCCCTGTATATAATTCCCCGTGTGTGTGACGATTGGGACGTTATACGTCCTGTGCGGTGCTCAGAGTGACTAAGTGCGATATTGTGCAGTGCGGTGCTCGCTGTGATTAAGCGATTAAGTGCAATATTGTGTAGCGCGGTGCTCAGCGTGATTCAGTGCAATATTGTAGAGCGGAGTGTTCGCTGGGATTCAGTGCAATATTGTGTAGTGCGGTGCCCGAAGTAATTACGTGCAATATTGGCAAGTGAGGCGCCAGGTGCGATAAAGTGCAATATTGGCGTAGAACAGTGCTCGGTGCGTTAAGTGCTAACGTGAAAGCGGTGTGTTAAGTGCTAGTTGAGTGTTCCATCTGTGACAATGGCAGAAAAAGCTACCATCGATGATCTGGACGATGTTCAGACTTTTCTGAACAGAGAGGACTGTCTTGCCAGATTAAAATATCTGAGCAAACCAGAGCTGTACTAGTGAGCGCCTACCTGGAGATCAAGATCCGTGCCAGTGATTCCTGTGTGGAGATCTTGTCCAAGGTTCACCGGCACTTGAAGGCAGAAGAGAAACAGGAAGGCGAGATTCCTAGTACAAAGGAAGGTGAGGAAATAGCTTCCACGGAAAAGGAAGATAAGGGCAGTGACATTGACAGTGATGCAGGTGAGCTTAATATTAGCTTTCTTACAGTCAAAATGCGCGCCCTAGAGATAAATCGTGAGATAGAATGGAAGAAATTAGAAATGGAACGAGAATTAAAAGAAAAGGAATTGGCGATGAGGCGTTTAGAATTAGAAAGAGAAGAAAGAAGAGAAGAACGAGAAAGAGAAGAGAAAAGAGAGAGAGAAGAACGAGAAAGAGAAGAGAAACGAGAGAGAGAAGAACGAGAAAGAGAGAGAGAAGAACGAGAAAGAGAAGAGAAAAGAGAGAGAGAAGAGCGAGAAAGGGAAGAGAAACAGCGAGAGAGAGAAGAAAAGGAAAGACAGAGACAACATGAACTAGAAGTATTACGATTAGGTGGTGGTCGGAGGCCAACAACGGACACCAGCGGTTTCGATCCGGTAAGGAACATCAAAATGGTCCCCAAATTCAATGAGAGGGAAGTGTCAAAGTTCTTTGCAGCCTTCGAGAAAGTCGCTGCCTCTTTGGAGTGGCCAAGGGAGAATTGGGCCATCATGATACAGTCAGTCTTGACTGGGAAGGCCCAAATCGCCTACTCCACGTTATCCCTTGACGACTCCGGCGATTATGACAAGGTGAAGAAGGTTGTGCTCATGGCGTACCAATTGGTACCTGAGGCGTACAGGCAGAAGTTCAGAAACCTGAAAAAGACCTCAGAGCACACTTTCACCGAATTCGCCACCATCAAGGAGCGACTTTTTCAGGAGTGGTGTGCCTCTCGGAAGGTGGAGACCAAAGAAGACCTCGAGCAGCTTATACTGCTAGAGGACTTCAAGGATTGTTTGTCTGGAGACCTGAAGACGTACTTAGAGGAACAGCAGGTAGAGACCTTGAGTGCAGCAGCCACAATGGCTGAGGAATATATCCTGACTCATAGGCCGTCTGCTAAGTACGTCCCGAGGAATTACCAGCGCCGGTTTGACAGACCTCATGACGAAGAAGAAAGACCCATCCCACAAAGCGCTAAGAAGACGCCCCCAAGTAGCCCTCGAAGGACTAGTCCTAGCAGTCCGAAACACCGTAGTCCAAGGAGGAATGTGGTGTGCTGGACTTGTGGGCAGAAAGGGCATGTAGCTGCTATGTGCCGAGGCAGAAGAGGTGGCGGCGCACGTAGGGAGGTGATGATGATGAGCTGTGTAACACCACCAGCAGGAAGCCAGTCGACGACGACGCAGGAAGAACCCAGAGTGTTTTCCCCTCACACTTCAGGCGGGTATGTAACGAGTGATCATACTGGTAGATCAGTTGTAGTGCTCAGAGATAGTGGAGCAGCCCAGTCCCTGATCGTGAAGAACTCGTTACCCGAGGGAGTAAGTGTGGACGGGAGACAACAGGTTGTCCTGGTTGGGTTTCCTAGGACGCAGTATATCGCCCCCTTAGTGCCAGTACATCTCGACTCTCCTTATTTCAGCGGCACATGTGCGTTGGCAGTAGTCGATACCCTCCCTGTAGCTGGGATTGACGTGGTACTAGCCAACGACTTGGTGACAGATTGGAGCATCAATCTTCCCAAGGTCGCGGACGAGTCAGCCGAAACAGCAAGGTCGGAGGTAACAGGCAGTGGTAATATCCAGGTACAGACAGACCCGGATTTAAACATGTTTAATTTGTCCTCTCACCCGCAGATCGACAGTATTCTAACAGTGTCTCCTGATTCTTCTCTCGACAAGGAACATGAGGTTACGATGGCAGAAGTACCTGAGCTAGAAGAGAGGCCTTGTGTGCAGGCACCCACGGATACCAACGAGTCTGGAGCGAAGGCGGATGTGTACTTGCGGTATGGCAAGGTACAGCGTTCATTGAACCGGCCAGAGATTCCCCAGACGTCAGAGGTATGTGAGGTGTGTTCGAAAGGTCTAGTGTCCTCTTTGGTCCAAACCAGGCTAATGGACGTAGCCGGTTATGGACATTTCAAGCTCAGGAAACTTGTCCCTAAGTTAACCAAATGTTTCCTACCGGTATTTTGTTTTGATTCTATGTGTGTGTTCTCAGTAAGGATCAGTGGACGACCCGAAGGATGATGGCTCCCTTGAACATCGTGAAGAGTTCCCAGGGATTGGAGATTTGCACTGCAAGTGTTGCAGGCAAAGGAGGGACCTGGAAAGTGATGGTTGATACACCAGGTACGAGAAATGATAATATGAGTGACTGTTTCCGGCAGGTTGACACCCCCCCCGTGATTGCTGAGCCTTAATGCAGCGTTATGCGGAACGTTGGTCGACCTGACGGTGGCAGAGCGAATGCCATCTTCAGTGTGCAAGCAGCCCTGTTGGAACTAGGTGTGGGCCTAGTAGACGAGTGTGTAGTAAGTACTGCCTTGCCCACTGTCGCTGTCACTCTGAATTATCAGACCCCTGTATTCCAGGTTCCTGTCTCCCTGAAGGACTACCGGACCGGCACCAGAAATGCCGTCTGTGACCAGCCATCATCGGTGCCACGACATAGGGAAGTGTCGAGTCGCCCTAGACCGGGTCGATATCGATCCTTACTCGAGAGATGTGAGATGATGCCCCTGCTTGACATCGCAGAGGTGTGGAAGATTACGTCAGGCAGGTCATCGCCTTCCATCTGCAAGTTCCCTTTGTGCCAGAATTGCCCAGTAGGACAGTTCTGTGGACGAGACAGCCTCGCCGTTCCAGTTTACGGTATAAGTGAGTCAATTTGGAGTTGTGTCCCCGTACTAATTTGGTTTGTGTTTCTCTTTATAGAACCCCAAACCAAATTCTTTTTGGTGGGGAGGTGTTACGAACCCGGATCCAGCGTCCGAGCACGGAGCAGTGACGACCGCGCCATCTGTGGGTCAGCTCCCGAAACCCCCACCAAATGGACGACGACACCTGGTGAGGACAAGGTGTACTGGCCACAAGGGCCAGTTTCCAGTCCTGTTCAGCACACAACACCGCCGCTGCTGACCTCTGGTGAGGTGGTGCTCAGACAACAGCGCCATCTATGGAGTGGATAGGTGGGCGTTTGTGTCTGAGCCTGTAAGTGAGGTGCTTTAGTG